CCGTTTGATGTAGTCTTGTATTGTAGGTCATGCACATCCTTACTACTATCCTCATTTAACGCGTCACGGTGGCAACGAGTTTTAATCCATAATGCATTGAGGAAGCGTGTTTTGACAACATCGATCTTTTAACAATCGGCCTTATTTCACCTGTTTAAGTTTGAATGGGTTCTTTATTTTCAATAAATCGAGATCTTGATGTACCTTTTGGGTTTTATTATGGCAAGATTTGAAATTTTGAATTATGCATTTGAAGTTGATTTTGGGTTTTAGTTCCTGCAAGTTTGGTTTGATATTTTTGTTATGCTCTTCGTGTTACAAATTTATTTGCAAAACTGATTTGTAATAAATTTATCTAGGTTTGGTTAATGATGAGGTTCGAGCTTGACAAGTGTGTATAATATAAGTGTTAGTTGAGGGCCGATTTGGGTTGTTAAAGATGGCCAATCCGTTGATTAAGTTATGGAAGCTAGTGAATACATAATTAAAATGTTGGAATGTGGGACAAAATAGGTTGGATCAAGGGACAAAAGACACTGGATCAGTTTTTGTCACCAATGAAATTGCACCTGAACCAAGCTGGAGCAAACAAGGAAGAAACAATCCAGCACGGCTACCATGCGACAGCACTGCCTTAAGATGCATGCGGTCGCACACATGCATACCGAAAATTACAAGGCTGGAATCATGAGAACCATGCAAACGCATATAAAACAACAATGCGGTCGCACCGTAGTTGGCTAACAGATTTTGTTTCCTTTCTCGTGTAGTGTTTTAATTTAAATGAAATTCTTGCTTGGTAACTTTAATATTTCTAGGCCTTTTATTTCCCTTTTTTTTTTTATCATATTCTAGAATTTTATTTCCTTTTTAAATTAGGTTTTAATTAATTTCCTAGTTTAGTATAAATAGTCTACTTACCGCCACTTTGCTGGTTATTTCCAGACAATGTCATGATAAATCTACTACATTCATAAGTTGTACCTTACCCACATAAACAACAGACTGTCACAATCCTTACAAATAAACAACAGATTGGCATGATAAATTTACAACATTGATTTTCCTTCCATATAAAAGCAAAAATCCACCACTAATCAAACTTGCCCCTTGCCTTTGGTGTTCCATTTGGTGCTTGGTTTTCCCGTACGGATTGTCACGTTCATAGAAATGTGGAGTTTGCGTTCATCGTTAATCCGAACTTGAGACTGAAACATGCGGGAGATATCGTCAACTGATTCGATCGGATTGGACTTAGGCAACATAGCACCAATGTTCTTGGCTTCGCCACTTGATTCCCCTTCTTTGCACCACTCCCAGAAACCACATTTATGACCGCAACATTTGAAGAATTTACCTTTATTAGCTGTAGCTCGTTCTACCTCAAAACACTTTTGGAAACCTTAGTTACACGTTGGGCATCGAACTTTTATCGGGCATTCGGCAAAGAAATGGGCTTACTCCTGCATTCTGTCATAGGATTCACACGCCAACAACAAAAAGTTAAATGATAAATGTGAAGATGACCACTCATTCCGAACACTTGCTCTACTACAATGGCATCACCAAATACAACCTTAATGCAACTTTTTGACAAGGATATAGAGCAGCACTTCGGGTGTTTTAGAGTGCTTACACTCTATGCTAGATGTCTCTTTAGCAGGGTAAATTTTATTTGTTGGCATCACGGTATTATGTAACATGTTATCCCCCCAAACTAACGGATGTCTCTACAATGGAACATGTTTAGGTGAAGGTGAACATCTTGGAATTGTTCCAAAGCACAAAAGTTTCTAGCATTAAATTTCTTCAATTTTGTTTCAAAAATCCCAGCAGTTCAAGAAAATTCTAGTTAGGTTCAGCAAACCAATTTTTCGCAAAAGTACCAAAAAAATCTAGATTAAATTCCGAAATAATCCCAAAACTTCAAGAAAATTATGGTGGAATTTAATACTCGAGTTTTGTGCAAATCTACCAAAGATGTCTATGCATTGAAGATTATTACTATTATCAACCGACCCAGATTTTATTTGAGAAGGACAATATACACTCCCCATGCTTGTGTGTAGAGAAGAAAACCCTAGGATTCAATACTGCTACTATATTTCACGCACATCAAATGGCATACACCTTCAAGTTGTTTAAATCACGTACCTTACTATCTAGCCAATGTGAGATTTGGTGGAATTTAATATTGCTACGAGGCTTGATGAAAGTCCCGCCCGACGAGTTCGAGATGTGGCTGTAGGCAGGAGATGGTGGCAGATTTGTAGATGGCAAGAGGTGATGTGTGCATTGGGTTTCGAAAATCACGTTTCGAATGGCTTCGTCGTCTTCAAATTTGGAGAGAAAATGGAGGTTGGGTTTTTCCCTTTTCTTTCAGCTTTTGGTAAGAAATTGGAAAGAGGGAGAAATCACGTGCTCCCACTGTCTCTTATTCAGTCTTTTGAATTCTTTGTCTGTCTGAATTCTTTGTCCTTTTGTCATTTTCTTCCTTTTTTGCCCCTTGCCACGTCACATTGTAAGCCAACCTTGTAAACCCACAAGGTACAAATAGCTTTTTGGGGGCCTAAGTAATGGAAATGATAAATTGGACTATTTTGCACTAAAATAATGATATTTTTGCAAGATTTTGAAAAAAATACAAATTTTTGGTATATTTTCATATTAGAATCATATGTGCAAATGTCCTAATCTTATTTTTACATCAAAAGGCTAGTTGTTATCACAAACAAAATAATTACATCATAGGAAACCAAAATAAATATCAATATAGGCTCTGTTTGAGCCACATTCTTTCAATTGGACATCATTTTAATCACACATTCTTCAATAAAATAATATTGCACGTAAATTCAAAAAACTTAATTTTAAATCACAAATTTCCCATCAATACACTATTCAAAAATGGATTCTTATGAAAATAATATGGGTCAAACAAGGGCATAAAGAATATGTATTGAGTATGTGTTTAGAGATGACAAATGAGCCAGTTAGCTCGAGCAACCTATGTCTAACTTGAGAAAAGCCCGAGTTGGCTCGTGCAACTCGATGTAGGCCATCGAGTCACAAGGGCCGACTATGGACAAGGGCCAAAAATAGCTCGTGATGGGGGCCATTCACGTCTCGTTTTTTGCAGGCTATTGCCTACAAAAAGTAGGCCACTACAACCATCAAATGTAATTGCATGTCCCACCAACTAGTCTCTTTGCAAAGAGACTTTCTGCTATACAGATCGAGCAAAAAAAATTTAATTTTGGTTTCAATTTTTTGGCTATGAATATGAAGGTTAAAATCTTGTTTTATACTATCAATTTTCTTTAACGATTTTTAACTTGCAGTATTCTATTTTTCAGTTTTACTTCCAACTTCTTTGCTCTAATATCCAATTTTTTTGCTATAATTTTTCAATTTTAAATCTTCAAAATTTAATAGTTACAAATGAGTTTTACTAGTCACGAGGTTAACCAGTTTAAGGATAGTTTGAGTACTTCATCCAACTACGATAAAGACGTTCCAATTGACAATTGATGAGGTTAACCAATTTAAATATAATTCAATAAAAAGTTGATAGTTTAAAGGTTAAGGAGTTGCAACAGATCCAAGGATATGATTGTAACTTTTTAAATTTTTTTGTTGATTTAATTATGTAATTTTTAAATTCATTTATTTTAAAAAAGTTGTGCACAAAATATTTTATTCGTATAAAATTTTAATTTCCCCTACATTAATTGTAATCAATCCTAACCCCCCCGCCGTCCCCGCACCCCAAAAAAAAAGTAAAGTTGTAACTTTTATTTAATCTACAATTAATATAAATTTTACATAATTAAAAAGAATTTACAATTTCATGAATTAAAAAATATTAAAAAATATGAACTTGTTCAACTGGGTGATGCTTGAGCCAAGTCTCAAAATTTTAGCTGGACTTTGGCTCGAGCCGACTCGTTGACACCCCTGTACGTGTCACATAATAATGAAAGTAATCACGAAAAATTCTTTTAAAATATAACCAAATGACAATGATCATAATATATATATTTTTTATTTAACACATTAAACAAAGGAAGGTGCAGTTGAATTAGTCAAACTTTCCTGTTCTGAGAAGACTCGAACTGGTGATTATTGGAGAGCAAATCCAAAACTTGACCACTGAGCTACCCCTCAAAATTAATAATAATAATAATACATTGAAAGTAATTTCACTTTAGACTTAAACAAACATGCTATAAAAGTATCAAACATTTCGAAGGACTTATTATTATTATTATATTTTTTTTTTGACAATGATAATTAGTTTAGAACATTTTATATGACTTTTCCTCCTGCTTCTTGTGGAACTTTTTTTTAGGAAATTACCGTAAGTTAATTTTTTCCGAAATTTTTTCAAGCCAAAGCATTTGTAAAAAATTATTCAAACACTTTCAAAATCAGTTTCTTATTTTTAGATGCAACTTTTAACTTTTTAAAAATATGGGCAGTTAGAATATAGTATGCAAAATTGAGGTCAATTTTACATATTATTTTCTTATTTCGAAATTAAAGTAATTCTACTTATTCATAGGGACAAAATTGTCTTATCACAGACCATAGGAAGGTAGTAGATCCTCTGTAAGTATGGCAGTTATTAGGTTAGGGTCATTATGTGGCACAAAGATAATGTGACCAGACCCCCTCTTTAGGATCTCACTGGAGTTTGACTTTTGTACCGTGCCCTTAATGAATGAATTTTGTTACTTTACTTGAAAATCCACTCACATACTCGTGAGTCTCGTGTGAATAAAAAGGTCCAAAAAAAACAAGTAGGCCATATCGAGAGTCAGTCGCCAACCATTTTCGGTTAATCAATAATAATGCTATTTATCTTATCCATAAATAATATTTGACAATAATAAATTTCACATTAAATTATTTTAATTAGTAAATTAATTAATATTATCGAAATATCACATTATTGTTATTTTATAATCAGGACCAATGAATAGCATTATTTCACCAATCAAAAAACCACATAGCCCTGGTCAATTTTTCTCCACTCCATTTTCAATTCAGTTTAGAAGTCACACCCGAAGATCCTGTTCGCTAAAGACAAATGGCGGTGCCTACGGTGATCATGGAGGTTGAAAACGATGGCGTTGCGATCATCACCATCTCCAATCCTCCTGTTAACGCTTTAGCCCTCCAAAGTAAGTTGCTACGTGAATACATACATATGGATGTATGGCCTTGAAGTGATTAATTGATTGAGTTGTTTTGTGTACTTGCAGTTTTTGAAGGGTTAAAGCAAAAGTTTGCTGAGGCAATGAGAAGAAATGATGTCAAAGCTATCGTTCTTACTGGTAGCATTTTTTCCTCAATTTATTTGTTCGTGTTTGTTTATTTTTGATAAATAAACCAGATTCTGAGTGATTATTGCTTTGGTTTTCTGCCGAAGTGTTTGTTTCAGGAGAGAGCAATCACCGTTACTATGGAATTTAAGTTAATCAATCTCATGATTGCTGATTCGAGATTTTTTCACACTCACACACACACATATATTTTCGTTTGTGTATGCCTGAAAGTTCTAATAAGGAAGGCAACCTGAATTTTTACATGACCTACTTCAATTCACTAAATAGTTAACAATATGAACTGGAAACTAGGTGCAGATAAATTATTGTTATTGTTTTAGTAATTTGGGGAGTTGCTGAAGTCGGCAAAGTATGTTACAACATTTGAATTCAGTGAATTGCATATATTGATTACGATACTCTAAAACTTAGTCAAAGATTCCTGCCTGTTGGTTCAGTGCAAGAAAACTTCTGTACTATGGATTACGGTTGCTGACAGGTATACCAGTGGAGGGTCAATAGTTGACTTTCAATATTCTCTAAGCCAAAAGGAGGATACAGCATTAGAGACAAATCTCATGAAATTTTCGATTTGCTATAAGTCAAGATTTTCATAATCCGCGACTATGCTAGTAATATTAGTTTATCACTACTTTTATTGATTTCTGTAAATTTGAGAGCTATCTGTGTCATCTTATTTAGATAGAGAACTTTTGCTGCTTCCTAGAGTCAACAACTGATTATTTTTTTCTGACTTCATTTTGAAGGCAATGGTGGGAAATTCTCAGGTGGCTTTGACATCAATGTATTTGAAATGATACACAAAACTGGTGCCAATTTTTATCTGAATACCATCTCTCAACCAATTTTCTGGAAATTATATATTTGTGTGTTCCATCGGTTGTGTTTGTAAAATCTACATTAGAATTAATTAAATTTTCGTGTATGCACAGGAGACCTTTCTATCTTACCAGATGCATCTGTTGATCTTCTCGTCAATGTGATAGAAGGTCCTTCTTGACTAGTCTTTAATTGTTTGATTATGTAAATTGCACTTGGTATTTTTTTGAGTTTCCAATGTATAGTTCTATTTATGACTTCTTTCAAAATTGAATATGTCAAATACTTATCCCTAAAATTATTTTGTGTTCTCCTTGTCTTCATCAGATGCGAAGAAGCCTACTGTTGCAGCCATAGCTGGACTTGCACTTGGAGGTGGCTTAGAGCTGGCTCTGGTATATGTTTCCTTTACATAATGACACTTCCTAAAATATGTGAAAAGTTTTCCTGCATTTCATCATATTACTACATTATGCAGGCTAGCCATGCACGCATTGCTGTGTCTAGAGCTCAACTTGGTCTGCCAGAACTAAGCCTTGGAGTTATTCCTGGATCTGGTGGTAAGGTTTCTATTTACTATCTCTGATCACCTGCAATGTGAGCTTGAAGAAGAGAAATTTCTCTACTTCAATAAACATAACCTATACAATAACCACGCTTCTTTGTCAAGGCACACAACGTCTTCCAAGGCTTGTAGGGCTACCAAAAGCTGTTGAAATGATGCTGGTGAGGCGTCCTTTCTTATTAGTAGATAATGAGGCTAAAACTTCTGGAAACATATGCTTCCAATACTGAACTGTTTCTAATTGCATTAATGGGTAACAATCTCGAAAAGTGTCTACTGTTGACTTTTTTACTTCATAGCACGTTTTTGTTCTTTTCTTCATAATTCTTTTTTTCAGTAATAATTGAACAACGTCAACATTATTTGAGGATCTTGAACCTCGGTTTTACATAATGCATAATATTAGGTCAAAATAAGATTTCATTCTTCCAGTTATTGAATGTAAGAGATTTTATCAAAAATTATATACAAAAGAATATGAGGATATCCTTCGGTGTCGAGGGAATTGTATGTATAGATTTTTAAAAATAATTAATTTGATCTATGACATATCCGCTTCCTAAGCCTTTTGTAGCATGTCCTCCAAGTTACTCTCAGTTCCAATAGTGCATGGAGTGACCTGAAGATAGGGTCATCTTTCCCAAGGAAGGCACCGAGGGAATTTGGAGAGAATACTATTTCTTTCTTCTTTGCATCTGTGTCAGTTTACTAATATTTGACTAGTTATGCAATATGACTGTATTTTCTCTTTCTACTTTCAGTCAAATGGCAAGTGCTTTTCCTTGTTTGGATCCTAGTTCAATGGGAACCATGCCTGTTTCTTTGGTCCACATTTAGTTCTGACTAGTGATGCTTGTATTCTCTCTTTCTAGTTTCTCATCCCTGCATGTTTCCTTGGTCTGCATTTAGTTCTCCTCTTGAATAGATTCTTTTAGTTTGTGTTCTAGCATGTAAAGCTTTTCTAAGAAAAATAGAGGTTGAGAGGTATGTATTTGATTAAAGTTGAAGGTGCTGATGGAAGAAGTTGAAAAGGGAACAAATAATTCTCTATTTTTTCAGGAGATTGTTCAGCAGATTAGCATATAAAAATAAAAGTAACAGTCTCACCAACCAATAACTTCTTGGACATTGAGAGTTCCGGCGTTAATCTGAAGCATGGGTTTCTTATCTGAGTTCGGGAGCTTTTGATTAAGAATTAGATCAAATGCAGTGCTCATACTTCATTTCTAAAATCATCAGGGAGACCTGTCCATGCGCCATATATTCAGTACCCTTGAAATAGAAAGATACCATTATCTATTGTGACTACAATGTTTAGTATTAAGAAATGTACTTGCAACTCTGTTCTAACTTTTGCACAAGAAATCTGTAGTTGTTCACTGTCTAAATGCTTGTACCCTTGACCTATCGAAAGAGCTATCTCTTCTTGTATCTGTTATTCTTTTACTAGAATAATGTCCATTTGTTGATGACCTCATTATGTTGGCTTTTTATTAATGTCAACTCGATAATCTGTACTTTCTACAGTCATCTAGACCAATAATGTCGGAAGAAGGAAAGGAAGTAGGTCTTGTTGATGCAATTGTACCTTTGGAAGAATTGCTGAAAGTATCTAAGCAATGGGCATTAGACATTGCTGCGAGGCGCAAACCATGGATACGCTCTCTTCATGCGATGGATAAACTTGGCTCCCTGTCTGAAGCGCATGACATAATAAAGATGGCCAGACAACAAGCCAAACAGACCGCCAAAAATATGCCTCAGCACCTAGCATGCCTAGATGTGATTGAAGAAGGAATCATTCACGGAGGATATATTGGAGTGCTAAAGGTAAACTGTAATTTGAAAACTTGGGGTTGTTTTGTCTTAAGTTATATTTTTGATAAAGGAATGTTTTGAAGTGATTCTTTTTTGGGGGTAGAATGACCTATGTATTGTTGGTCATCTGTCTTGTATACCTGGTCTTTTCCATAAATCATAGATAACAATTGTGAGAAATGCACATTGAGCTCATTACAGTTCTTGGATAATGCATAATAATTTCATATGCACAAAAGGAAAAAATGGCTGTCAAACATATGATGCTTACATCTTAACAAGTCATTATTATAGTCTTCATCATAGTCATGGCCATTTTTGTTAGTTATTGATTTCTTCCCTTCCGCTCTTTTGCAGGAGGCGAAAGTGTTTAAAGAGCTTGTAGCATCTGTCACTTCAAAAGCTCTTGTTCATAATTTTTTTGCCCAAAGGGCAACTGCAAAGGTAAAAATTGATTCAACAAACAAATTATGCACTTTTAGTATCTAATATTTGAAATAGCAACAACCTTCTTTACCCCATCACTCTACAAAAAAATTAATGAACAAATGCAAGAAGAGATTTTAGAGAGAGCTAGAAAGTGAGTGGGTCAGAGACAGAGAGAACCGATAAGATCTCTTCTCTTTCCTCCCACTTGAGCATTAATAGTCTAAGAAGCATGAATACTTGTAAACTCATTACGTACCCAAGCTTGGATAATCTCTGATACCCTCCAATACGTATCACATACATGTTCTTTTAATTATTTTATGTTTTATTATATTTTTTAATTTTTCGATATTATTGGATACTTATTTTTTAAATATTTCATATTGTAATTATTTTTGTTACGTATCCCATACGTTAGAATATATGAAGAATGTTATTGGTGAGTTTGATTCTATCACTAATCGGTATGATATGGATTAATAAACTTGCTGGTTACTTCATGGGTCACATGCATCGTTGTTGCAAAGCATTGTTTTAAAACTTCTTATGCAACTTCTTCTTTATCTTGTGCTGAAAGAAATTGGAGTACGTACTATTTTGTGCGCTCTATCAGAAGTAATAAAATAACTCCACGAATTGAAAAATTGATTTTCGTTCATAGCAATTTACATCTCTTATCAAGAAAATTAGATCTCTATTCAAAGGAAACTTCAAAATGTGGGACATTGTGAGATACTCATTTGATACGTTTGTAGGTATTGGATTGTTTGAAGTTGCTAATCTATTGTAGGTATTGGATTGTTTGAAGTTGCTAATCTATCGTTAGATAAGCTAGAGTTGAAGAGTGTTAACTTTAATGACAATAAAGAAGCTGATGTTGATAGTGTTGAAGAAAATGATGTTGGGAAAATTAAGGATTAAGATAAAAAAAAATGATTTAGTATTTGTTTCATTTTTATTGTTGAATTTTATGACACGTATCTGCATATCTTTATTTTTTCTAAAAAGTCATATCGACGTACCTGTATTGTATCGTATATGAATTACATATTCCTATCCATGCTTCTTAGTTAATAGTAGTGAGGGGCAGCTTTGGAAAAAAATGGTTTTAAAATATGCTTATTTTGGGTAAATGGGACATTACTCTGAAATATCAGATGAAAGGAAGGATTTCTTTGAAATGGGAGGAGTACCAATACAACTTTTTCTCTTTATGTTTTTATTCCTAGATTCGGAACATGGGGAGCAACTTATGATGCTGTGGGAATTTAAGATAGAATTCAAGATATAACTGACAAGTTGTCTCTCTAGTCAAAAAATTGAGCTCATCTCCCACAATACAAGATAGGATATGGTTTCATTCTTCTGAACTATGATTTTGAGTATGTTGGCTGCACAAATCATAGCTTAATTCTATACGTGCACACAGGTAGTTTTCTTATGGGGACACTTGTCTAACAGAAGTACCATGTCTCATTTTTTCTTAGAGAACGGATTTTCATGCACCTGTATTCTGTTTAACCATGATACTTGTGAGATAATTCAAACCCCTGTTTTAAGATGTCTTGTCATGGCCCCAATGCTGCACAACTGATAGTTTTTCTGGTATAGTTATCTGTTTTGCTTTCAGTTATTAGCCCCCGTTTGGCCCCCATTTTCGGGAAATGAAAATGGTTGGAATAGTATTTTTTTTGAAAAAATGAGTGGTTGAAAAAGAAGGAAAAGTTTTCGATTTACGTGTAATATTATTTTATGGAAGATTGTGTGGTTGAAAATAGGAGAGAGAAAAATGAAATGTAATGGAATTGAAATTAATTGCGGCCTGTTTTAAGATGTCTTGTCATGGCCCCAATGCTGCACAACTGATAGTTTTTCTGGTATAGTTATCTGTTTTGCTTTCAGTTATTAGCCCCCGTTTGGCCCCCATTTTTCGGAAAATGAAAATGGTTGGAATAGTATTTTTTTTGAAAAAATGAGTGGTTGAAAAAGAAGGAAAAGTTTTCGATTTACTTGTAATATTATTTTATGGAAGATTGTGTGGTTGAAAATAGGAGAGAGAAAAATGAAATGTAATGGAATTGAAATTGATTGGGGGGGGGGGGGGGGGGGAGGGCTAATGGGATCTGGCATAGCTACAGCTCTTATTTTGAGCAATATTTACGTCGTTCTCAAAGAAATCAATTCTGAGTATCTTCTCAAGGGGATAAAGACTGTAGAAGGTTAGTTATGACTTGATTTTGATTGGTTCCTGATCTTTCAGTTTTCCAGTCCAACCAAGAGAAATACATATTGAACTATTTGATGACAAAATAACACCAAGTAATGGGTTTAGTGGGCTTAGTGTTCTGGTGCATTTTATCAATATTTGTATGAACTCTGTCTCTGTGCTTGTATTGCAGCGAATATCCGAGATCTGTTATCTAGAAAAAGGTTGGCACAGGATAATGCGGATAAAGCCCTTTCAATGCTAAAAGGCGTTATAGACTACTCCGAGTTTAAGGATGTAGATTTGGTCATTGAGGTGAGTTGGGAGATAGTACTTCTAATTTTTTGAACATTTCTAGCCAAGGCTGGATGATGGTTTCCAATTGAATTTCCAGCTAAGGAAATCTAAGTACTTGGATTCATTTCTACCCTTGACATCTCTTTCTCATTCACACATTAGAAAATTCTTATGCTCACTTCTGGAAAAGCAAACGTAATATATACACACACACTCACACACATATACATACATATATACACACACACATATACACACACACATTGGACTCTTTGATACTTATCTTTGATTTTTTAATCTTTTTTCTCAGAAGTCTTTTGAGTCCCTCAAAATTTGGAATTTACTGGTAAATCTATAGTTTACAGAAACTCTGAAATGGTTTGCTTTTACAAAATGGATGATTCATGGCTTCTCTTTTATTAGATTTTTTATTAAAGTCATTTGTTGGTGTTAGATCTCATAAGAGCCACCTCGGGCAGAGGCTTAATTATTAGGAATCAACTTCAAGATGATTAAAGAGGTTTAATTATCAACAATCCTAGAATATGGGGCGAGGTTGGACAACAAAGTCATCTAGTTAGAATGGTCAATAGCCGCCGTTATCAAAGAACATCGTCATGAGTATATTTAATGGATGTTCCTGAATGACGTCAGCACATCCTAGGGCTGCCAATTAGAAGCAGGAAGGTGTCACTTTTGACGTCGACACTCCCATGCTCACCAATCAGGAGAAAACAATGATTGCCTAGGCTATAATTAATGATGACTTTGAAGGTGTCATGATGGTCTGACCAGACTGAACTCCTCAACCAATCAAACCTCTTAGGTGGCACACGAATTGAGGTCAAACAATTTAGCTTGACAAGACGGGGGAAAACTCATAATGTAAGGCCTATCTAAAGGGGCCTTACATGGGCAAGTGCCCCAAAGGAAGGCCGAGCTAAGCTTTTACCTGTAACACACTACAATACACTACTCAATAAAATCATTCTTCTCTTTACAATATCCCAGCAATCAAACAATGTTTTTTTTATACTAAATTTCTCTTTAAGTTCTATAATTGCCACCTCAGTTTCAGTTATCAACATCATTTTGCTAGTATGGAGGGTAAGTGGCCTAGTTTCTGGCCAGATTGGCATATTACAAGGTGTAGGACTTCTTGAAGTCTATGCAAAGTCATTCAATGTCTTGAATTCATTATTTGAGAGAAATATAACAGAATTTCAAGAACTTCGCATAACTCCACTCAAACACTTTGTGCTCTTAACTTTTACGTACCCTTCCCATCTATCAACCTTAGAATCTATAGTTCGGCACCACGATATCATTTCCATACTCACGAAGTTCACTAACTAGAACGGGTTCGAGTAGGATGTGAAGATTTCCTATGTCATCTTGTGTATGGGGTTTTGGTCGATAAGATTGCTAGTGTTTTTGTTGTTCTCTGCTAGTTTTGTATTTCTAATATGGTTTTGTCTTAATTGCAGGCTGTTATTGAAGATGTTCCACTAAAACAGAAAATATTTAGTGAAATTGAGAAGGCATGCCCTCCACACTGTATATTAGCTTCCAACACGTCTACTATTGATCTCAATGTAGTAGGAGAAAAGACCAGATCTCAAGATCGGATTGTGGGTGCACATTTTTTCAGGTTATGAAACTTCTGTTGGATGAATTAAGAATTTGATTTCATAAATTATTGTCATTAGCTGAGCAAATATGCATATAAATGAAAGTTTGAAAATAAAACCTCTCTGTTCTCAGACTGGATGTGCAGTTGACAAGCAGTAGCACTAATTGGGAGTCTACTAAGTTATTTTTTCCCCTTTTAATTCGGTCTACTTGGAAATTTAATAAAGAAAATATGTGTGAAAAATAAGGTATCTTCTCTTAGATTTTCATAATTTGTCTGAAGAGGATTCTGAAGATCAAACTACGCATGAGAATCTTAAAACATTCATATTGAATTGATGAAACTGCATGGAAGGAAATAGGTAGAAGAAAATATTTCCATTTGGGAATTAGAAAGTGAAATGATTTTTCTTTGATGTGATTCTTCATTTCCTTCCAATTTCAAAGTGTGGACAGGATTTATAATTTTGAATTTAGAAACACTTACATTGCTTTAAATTGAAATCCCTGGTGAACTCTATTAGAAAACCCCTTCCTCTTTTCTTTTTAGTACCCTTTCCATCCTAGTTGAGATGCACAATTGGGAAACATAGTGGTTAGGCTGATAGGCATGTGGTCTGAGATTCTTGCATGTATATGCTTATACTGTGGCAATATATGGTTGTGATTAATGGAAAGTTTATTTTAGTTACACTGTTTGAGAATGTCACTTTGGAACTGGGAGTCGTTAAATACGGGCAATTGATTTTCGTTGTATGGACACCTCAATTAAGGTAGGGTGTCTGTGTCGGACACGTGTTAGAGCTGACCCTGCAATTTACCATGATTAAAAATAGGGAAAATAGCAGCAGCGATTCTTAACTTTTTCGTTTTTTGCAGACTTTACCATAACCTTCATTTTGTGCTAGCGAAGGTTCCTAACCTTTCATAAATATGCACATGAGTTCCATCTAAATTAAAACTGTCCAAAACATCGTGAGTAGTCTGGAAAATTCCATGAACTATCTGCTATCGCGATTGTTTTATTGGATGTTGATAACTTTTTGAATGGTGATTTTGGACTGTTTTATTGGATGTTGATTTCTTAATTTTTCCGGTCAATTGACAATGTTTTGGACGGTTTCCGTCCAAATAGATCTCAAGTGCATATTTATGAAATGTTAGGAACCTCCGCTGATACAAAATAAATGTTAAGGTAAAATTTACAAAAAATGAAAAAGAAGGTTCCTAACCTTTCATAAATATGCACATGAGTTCCATCTAAATTAAAACTGTCCAAAACATCGTGAGTAGTCTGGAAAATTCCATGAACTATCTGCTATCGCGATTGTTTTATTGGATGTTGATAACTTTTTGAATGGTGATTTTGGACTGTTTTATTGGATGTTGATTTCTTAATTTTTCCGGTCAATTGATGGTGTTTTGGACGATTTTCGTCCAGATGGACTTTAGGTGCATATTTATGAAAGGTTAATAACCTCTGCTGGCACAAAATAAAGGTTATGATAAAGTCTGCAAAAAATGAAAATGTTAGGGATCGCTACTGCAATTTTTTCTTAAAAATATTATATATTTTTAAATCAAATTTATTAGTAAATAATAAATATATACTTATATTTAAAAGATCTCAATAAGAAAAATTAATAGCAAGTATAAAACTAAAAATGAAGAATTTTAAATAATTTAATTAACTTGTAGATGTGTCATGTCAATACTTTTTTGAAAAATTGCTTGTCAGCGTATTCGACACATCGTGCCGGACTCGTGTATCATAGATATTCTTTAGAAATTCAGTAGACAATATATGTTACTTTAACTGCTCACTTGATTTACATTTTAACAGTCCTGCCCATGTAATGCCTCTCCTGGAGATTGTGCGGACAGAGAAGACCTCTCCTCAAGCAATTCTTGACCTAATGGCGGTTGGGAAGACCATAAAGAAAGTTCCTGTCGTGGTTGGAAACTGTACTGGCTTTGCTGTTAATAGAACCTTCTTCCCATACTCTCAAGGTGCACATATTTTGGTTAACTTGGGGGTGGACGTGTTCAGAATCGACCGGCTCATAACCGAATTTGGCCTTCCTTTGGGCCCATTCCAGTAATTTCGTTGCCTCTGTATCCTAAAGCACGATTTCACGTTCATTGACTCTGTATCATAACCTCGGTCCTGGTTATTTTGGAATTATTTCAACAGGCTTCAGGATCTAGCAGGATATGGAGTAGCTGTCGCAACAACGAAAGAATTTGCTTCTTACTTTCCTGATCGTACCTTCCACTCTCCATTGGTTGAACTTCTTATGAAAAATGGGAGAAATGGTAATGATGTAATTCACTGCATATATTAGTACTTAAGTTTAATCTTCACTTTATACTTACTTCTGCTTATGGGGTTGCAGGTAAAAATAATGGAAAAGGATACTATATTTATAAGAAAGGAAGCAAGCCAAAACCTGATCCTTTGGTATTACCAATAGTAGAGGAATCTAGGATGCTCACCAATATAATGCCCAGTGGAAAGGTATACAACAGACTCGATTACACCACTTGACACGACTATCGTCCACGTGTTAAATATTGTATTGGGCTGTTAAGTCCCTCAGGCACGCACAATTAAAGATATCATTTACTGATATCTGCTGGAAATTTCTATGCAGCCTATTATTGTCACTGACCAGGAAATTGTCGAGATGATACTTTTTCCAGTGGTGAACGAGGCATGTCGTGTTTTGGATGAGGGCATAGTAATCCGAGCATCTGATCTTGATGTAGCATCTGTTCTCGGCATGAGTTTCCCTTCTTATAGGTGAGTGACTCCATGATAATCCATTGCCTGAAATATTTAAATATTACCACCTTCTACCCAGTTTCTCCTCATTTCCTGGACTCTTTGAAATTACTTAATCATGCATTGTCTTGTCATTATATCCATGATAATTCTTTGAGATTATAATTAGTACAAGCATTTTATGGAGCATGTATGAATTCAGTTTTGTATCTAGCATTTTTTGCATCTGCACACTGGCACAAATACTGGAGAGAAGAAAAGTAATCTTGACAAATGAAATCCAGAACTTAACTAGGTATAATATGTAAAATGAATTAACTAGAAAAACACAAAAGATTAGACAGCTAGAAGGGAAGGGAGCTGGGTCAGGAGGTGAGAGAGACTGGGACTTAAACAGGTTATGTATTAAACATTGTTTTGCTGAATATTCATGTGATGTATGTATTTTGAAGATGCCCAATATTCATATGACCATCTTTACCATTTCCTTTTGAGCATATGAATGACCCCTATTAAAATCTCAGAGACTATTTTATATTAAAAACCCCCTGAGGAAGCATGTCTTTGTGGCAGAGGCGGTATTATTTTCTGGGCTGACTCCATCGGGGCTGACCATGTATATCAAAGTCTCAAGAAGTGGTCACAAGTATATGGTAACTTCTATAAACCGTCGTCGTTTTTAGAAGAAAGAGCATTGAGAGGCATTCCTTTAGTAAGTACCTTATTATTACAGCATTATTCTTATCCATCAGTATACAGTATTTAGTTAATTTGAAGATTTATGCTTCATTTTATATTTTTTTGGACTTAAGCTTTCTCTTAGCCCCTGGCACTGCACAAGACAGTATGTTCTGAGACAGTAAACACCTGAAACAGTCCAATTATTTAAACCCATGTAATGGGGAATTATGTCAAATTTCAATTGAGCTATAGTAAATCAAAGACGCATAAATTTAGCGTGTATGTTTTCTGTTCACAAGGGGGATTTCATCCTAGTAGAACTGCTTAGAAGAGGGAGACAGAGACCAAATTTAACAGTTCTCGGTGTGAATGCAAAAGATTTGATTGTTTGGACCTTCAGTAAATGTAGTCTTGGACAGAAATGAGGATGACAAGGACTATATACTACCAAGCCCAAATTTATTGGAAAGAGGAGTTTATTAGTTGCTAAAGCAAAAACCAAATGATCAGACTATAAAAGACTAAAGTAGAAGTTTAGTCTGTGGAAAAGAGGGTAAATGGGAGAAGGGATGAAGCATTCTTTAACTCAAAGCTATCTAGGACATGCTCATGGTCCAAACTTTGATCAAAGCCGCCAACTATAATCGAGTTGCTAGTCTTGTCTGTGGGTGGTGCGTGTACGTTTCATTGTTGTATGTCCACATGATTAAGGTTTATCTATGCTGATTACGGTCTCTTGTTTTTCTGCAGAGCGCGCCAGCTTCATCACCTTCAGCATCAAGATCACGCTTGTAGGCTGTGCATATCCAAACGTTTAGCTCAAATACTGAGGGTAAAATAAATCTCCGTACCATTTGCCAAATTAATGAATAAAACTTTTCCAGTAGCACTGGCAATATTGATGAGCATTTGAATAAACACAAATCTCTCTCGCAAAATCCATGTCTCAAAGATGTGGTTTGACTTTGATATAATTTTTCGGTGAGAAATGATATTAGCTTCTATGAATTAAAATTGCATGTTTGGTACAAGGTAGCCTGGCTCCCTCAAGGGAACCATTGAATAGAAATAAGGAATTTATCATTTCACAATGTGATTTATTGAGCAACTCTTGATTAGGATCACCAAATACAACTGCACATTTCATTTCATTGCTAGTTAACACAGAGAAATGATTGGATATATTTGAAGGGTAATTGACTGGAATATCCTCCTATCATTTCATTTTTGTGGAAAGCCCCCTATATGATCCAAACTTTGTTGAATGCAACATTTTCTTTGTGGAACATGACTTTTTCTTCCATTTTCTAAATGAAGTTTTGTGAAATGATAAATATACCCTCATTGTTAAATAAAGCAAAACTAAAAGAAAAATTAATAAAAAATTAATTGTATTCTTTGTTCCATATTTTTAAACAAAAGTGCAAACGAATCTCAAATAAGTAATTAAAAAAAAAAATTCTCTTTCTTCCACTTATCTCATCTTCTTCGTACTCCTGCCACCATCGATCTGCTGCCTTGAGATAGGGAAGGTGGGGATGGGATGTGGGAGGGTAGGGTAGGGTTGGGAAAGTGAAGGTGGGGGTGTGAGGTGGCAGGGTAGGGTAGGGTAGGATAGAATAGGGTCGGATTGGGAAACGGAAGGTGGTAGTGGGGGTTGGGGGTTAGAAATATATATTTCTAATAAATAAAAGTGATGGGTGGTCGTAGGGTAGAGTAGGGTATTGTAGGGTTGGAAAAGGGAAGGTCGGGGTGGGAGTGGAGAGAGTATGTAGGTAGGGTGATAAAAAGTTATTTTTTTTAAAAAAAATTAATTATTTATTTGCACTTTTTTTATTACAATTAATTTTTTATTATTTTCTTTTTATTTTATTTAAAGATGAGGTATATTCATCATTGACAAGGTTTTATTAAGAAATTTTTGTATTTCGCAAGGAAAAATTATATTACTCAAAGTTTGGACCATCTAGGGAGATTTTCCATCAAAATGAAAGGATATGGGTAATTTTACAATGGAGGTAAAGGACATGGAGGTTTTGCATCAATCTATTTTAGAGTAGAGTCCCTAGGGTTGGGAAGGGGAAGATAGGAGTGGGGATGGGGCTGGAAGGATAGGGTTGGGAAAGGAAGGTGGGGGTGGGAGTGGAGAGATGTAGGTAGGGTAGGGTAGGGAGTCGGTGGGATAAAAAGTTTTTTTTTTTTTTAATTATTTATTGGGAATGTATTTGCACTTTTTTGAAAAATTGCGACTGTGATTTCAATTAATTCTTTATTATTTTTTATTTTATTTAAAGATGAGGTATATTCATCACTTACAAAACTTTATTAAGTTATTTTTGTATTTTACAAGGAAAAATTGTATTCCGCAAAGTTTGGGCCATCTAGGGAGGTTTTCCATCAAAATGAAAGGACATAGGTAATTTCACAATAGAGGTAAAGAGTAGGGAGGTTTTGCATCAATTACCCTGTTTTAAATATTATCTTTGGTTGAATAAAAAATAAGGCTTATATCATCAATTAACGAATGTATTTTTGATAATATTTCTTCATTTACTTGCAATCTAATAGCGTTAAAGAAGTAATGAGTATAGCAAAACTTAATGCGAAGAATGTCACATTTTTACATTCTATTCGAAATCCGACTTTTTTTAAATCAAATTTTTGGTTCAAACTAATCAAAATTTATTTTCGCGTTTCCCAAGTCATTTTTTGCGCCCCTACTCGGCCACTCTCTTAGTGCTCCTTTTCCTTGCCATTAGGGTTGAACAAAAAAAATTGTCAAACTACAAAGTCCGACCAAGTCGTTGGTTCAAAGCCATTGGTTTGGATCTAGTTAGATTTACTAAGGTTTTGATTTTGAATCGAACCAAACCGTTTATTAAATTATATGAAAAAAAAAATCCTTGAAATAAATGAATTTGAATCATCAAGTCCATCAATATTCATTAATCACTATATAAGCCAAACGGTATTCAACTATTTACCATTAACTATATGATCCAAATGGTTTGAGATAATGGTGAGAAAAATGAGGCTTATTCTTTATTGATATGGTTGAACTTAGTTGTTGTTATTTTTTAAATTGAACTTTGTTAATTTTTATGGTTCAGCTTTGTACTATTTTTACAGCTTTAAGCTTGAGTTATTACTAATATATCATAAAGTTAATATTTAGAATGTTATATCTTGAGCGTTTTATAAAGATTTTAGATCAATAGTTATTGTAACTAGTTTGAAAGGGGTTGATTTTATGTCGTTAGGTAAACCATTTATAATCTAATCGAACCACAAAAAATTGTTTTGTTTGGTTTCAAATTTTAAACCGTAAAAAAAAAAAAAAAAAAAAAAAAAAAAAAAAAAAAAAAAAAAACACACATTATTAAAAATAATGCCATACATCACATCAAAATTGGCACTTTATGAAACCTATTATGAATAGTATTTACTAGTACTTGCCACCAAGAAAATTCATAAATTCCACATCTGCTATAAATTAAAAAGATAATTTTAAAAGTTTTGGATTACTCCTATATGGCATTGGATCACGAAGTTTAGGAACATTAGGTTGTTCCAATTTGATACCATTGATAAGTATATTTATTACACTTATCTAGGTGGTTAAACTAGAGCAATTAGTGTTGTGTTAAATGAATTGATGCTTAATTTTGTATATATTTGGTTTGTTAGGTACATCTCGATAAAAAATGACAAAAGGAGCGAAAAATTGACAAGTAGGGGTTGAATCCAAAGTTCAAGGACTAAACTGTAAAGTACCAATAGTTGATTCAGACCCCATATCGATGATTGGAGAAGATGTAAAGTCAATTGTATGAAATTGCAAGCTAAAGGAGCAAGAAGATATCAAATAAGAGTTAAATAAATGAAGACCGAAATTGGAGGATTAAAGTGCAACAATTGAGAATTTGTTTATACAGTGCGTGCGCAGGACCTCAAGTCCATACCGAGAGGAAAAGCATAAAGTGGCACGCACGCGATGGAAAGTATGGCGTGCGCGGGGTAAATTCTGGGTCGAACGGCACAACCTCCGTTTTTAACCTAAACTCTTATGGAAAGAAAAAAGGAACAATTGGGAAAGAAAGGGAGGAGGTAGAATACAAGAGAAAAGCAGAAGATACATAGTTTTCACCACAAGAAGGAAGGAAGGAAAATTGTAAGCCAACTTTTGAGAGAATTTACATCAAAAACGAAGAATTCATCGCTTGGATTCGGATTTGAAGGCACAAATTGAAGATTTTCAGATTTTCTTCATCTTTAATTATTTGGGTGATGACTTTCTTTTATTTTCTTTGTAATTCTTACGCTAACATGATAGGCTAAATTCCTTTGTATTGGATGGATAACAAAATTAATTGATTTTTAGTTTTCAATTCAAGACTTAGTATTTTTATCTTAATTCTTGTATTGTGATTCCATTAACATGCATATTTATATTGTTTTAATGTTTGCGAACCATTAGAACAATAAGTTGCTTATTCGTAGTATTGAAAAATTCACGGTAGGTAGAACACTGTTGATGGAGCACACAGACAATAAATGTTAGAAATAATATTTGTTGCGTGTGCGATTATATGTGATAATCCTAAAAGTCAATGCGTGGTTGCCATATGAATTCGAACTAGGAATATAATCGTTTCGTGGTAATTATAGGTTTATTATATTTTGGGAAAGAATAATAAATAAAAGTGGAATTATCGATCGTCACATATGCAGGAATTGAGATAATTAATACTGGTTGAGAATTAAAATTAAGAATTGGTTAGTGGCGTAAAAAATTCAATGCATTAAGTCATTTGATTCTTAAACTAAATTTTCATTGATTTTACAAGTTTAAGATCCAACATTCAACTAGATACTTACAAATCAATTTTTGATTATAAATACGAATTTAAACATATCAAATATACTAGGATTAGACCTTATTCTTTGTGGGACAATAACTCTCATCACAATTATTACATGTACAACGAACCCGTACGCTTGCGGGATTTTGACAAACAACCATCAATAATTCCCGACTATTATATGGAAGCGGGTTCATCTTCGATTATAGCTATCATAATTTTTCTAAAATATTGTTTTTATCTCTTGTACTGATTAGTTCGTGTAAATAATAAAGTTCTAGTTGCTTTTACCATAAAAATTGAATGATCATTGATCTATATATTGTGCAATTGATTCCTCAATAACTACGCAGTTCATGGGTTCATCATAATGGAGCATCTAACAAACCCTGAAAATGAAGAATAAAGAAAGAAAAGACTAGGGATTCTACTAGGAGACTCTAAAAGAACAAATCTCATGGGAAGTTCATGAAAAAGCGATGCAAGAAGTAAAGCGAACCTTAACATTGAAAGAGAACATGCAAAAGTCTTGAATTTAAATTTTACAAAAAGTTGTGTACGCGTTGGACTTTGTTGGAATAATGAAGTCTGAGGACACGTGGAGAAACGTGTTAAAGATAAAAATTAAACAATAAACATATAGTCAGCTCTCTTAACTTAAACTTTTTGATACAATGGCTCATCAATGAGGAAAGAATAAGGGCCATTAGAAGCCATTCTTACTAAAACCATGAAGTTTATATTTTGTCCATGTTATCCAGCATCTAAGGGGGGATTATCTGGAAGTAATATCTTCCTCCTTGTACTTGTTTTCAGGAGATGTGATCCTAAGAGTTAAGTCAATTCATTGTCATAAAAATACAACTACGCTATGTGTACC